ATCTCAACTTCATTAAACAAAAACTGTAGAAAGGTAACTTAAAAAAGACCTATTACTACAAGATTAGATAAAGGACTCTGTATTAGGCCATAGATAGCTTAGAGAGCAGAGCATGAGTGTGTGGTCCATATGCATGGCACTTTGATTCAAAGGCAACACGACACATGAACCAGTAACTTTCTTCAGTGGGAAAGACAGAGACTTCTTAGATCATGGGAAGCCTCACAGTGGAAGGAAACGGCCATGGGATTTTCTTTGTTTTAATTCAGAGTTTAAAAATATGGCCGTGGATTCCTGAACGGCATGACACCATCAAGGGGTAGACATAGAATGTCTGTCAACATGTTTTACATGTTCCAAACCTAGAAGGGGGTCTTATGTCAGCAAAGTACGTCTGACTGTGTACTAACAGTGCAATTCTGAGAAAATGAAGGAATTATATCTATAACCACAGCTGGCATACAACTAGAAGGGGGACTTGTATCAGTAATACAAGCTTTAAATATATGCATGAACACAGCGTCCCACATTATAGCTAATATTAATTATTATTATTATTATTATTATCATTATTGTTATTATCATTTATAAAGTGGTAACAAATGTTCAATTTTAATATGGGGCTTCAACAGCTCATGACAACTAACAATTAGTTTCAGTTTTTTTGAGCAAGATTAAAATCAAGTTAGTTAGGCTTGCTGAAAGAACTTTATCAGGATTCAAATGAATGCAGGGCATTATACCTGTACATACTGGCATTAGCACAAAAGACACAAACACATAATCATAATCAGAAAGAACAGGAAACAGAAGCAAACAGTACTTACGGGACCTGTGCACCAAAATGTATACATCATTGGCTTAAATCTCATGTTTCTTCAGAGCATTCGTAGGAATCAGAGAGAACACAGATTTGCCAGCAGTGACCGTTTGTGATATTAAATCCTTTCCTGCATTGTAACCCCATTGTATAGTTTTGTTAAGGTTCTTCTCTCTGAACCTCTGACACAATTCCCAAGCCTGCAACTTTTCAATGTGTAACTCAGCAGTTCCCAAACTGTGTGCCGAGGTGAAATGTTTCACCGGTGCTATGATTATAGCACCGGAGAAACATTACTACTGAACAGGGGCATGGGTCCTTTAAGACCGCGACCGGTCCCCTGTAATGTCAGCCGGCTGGGAGAGAGGGACAGCCTGTCACTTCCTCCCAGCATACTGCACGGAGACAGTGTGGTAGAAGGCAGCCGCGGCATGAGGGGAGAGAGGCACGAAGAGCTCCAGACCCCTGACTCCCACAGCAGCAGGACCCCAAGCCACCCTCCTGGCACATAAGGTAAGCTAGAGGGAACCGGAGGGTGGCTGGGGATATTTTAAAAAATCACTTGTATGTGTGTGTGTGTATAAGTATGAGTGAGTGTATGTGTATGTGTGTGAGTGTATGTATGAGTGTGAGTATGAGTGTGTGTGTATGAGTTTGAGTGTATGAGTGTGTGTGTATGTGTATGAGTGTGTGTGTGTGTGTGTCAGTGTTTGCATCTGTTTGTGTGTATATATATGTCAGTGTGCTTTTGTGTCTGCACACACATCTGTGTATATGCATATGTGTTTTTATGTCAGTGTGTGTATGTGTGTCATGGTGTGGGCATGTATCAATGTTTGTGTGTGTCAGGGTGCATGTGTTTATGTCGGTGTGTATCTATGTGTGTGTATGTGTGTATCTATATGTGTGTATGTGTCGGTGTCTATATGAATTTGTGTGTATGTGTCAGTGTATTTATATGCATCTGTGTGTTAATGTGCATGAATATTTGTGTAAGTATGTATGTGGTGGTGTATGTGCATACATCCAAGCAGTCAAACATGTCTATATGTCAGTGTGCTTCTGTGTCAGTAAGTGTGCCTGTGTGTGCACACACAACTGTGTCAGGATATGCCTCTTTGTATGTGCATCAGTGTGTCATTGTGTGTGGTTTTATGTCAGTGTGTGTATCTGGGTCATGGTGTATGCATGTATCATTGTTTGGGTGTGTCAGGGTGCGTGTGTATATGTCAGTGTATGTGTGTTTTAAGGTGTGTGTATGTGTCAGTGTGTGTATGTGCAAGTATGTATGTATGTGGTAGTGTATGTGCATACAGCCAAGCAGTCATACACCAGCACAACATACAAACACACTCCTGCAATCTAACACAAATATTACATACAAACACACCCATACATTCAAACTCCAAAATTATATACAAACACACCCTTTCACTCAAACACAAATACTTCACACAAATGTACACCCACATTTAAAAAGTGAACATTACATTCAGGCACACCCCTGCAATCAAACGCAAACATTACATACAAACATGCCCCTGTATTAAAACACAATAACTATATACAAGCACCCATTCAAACAGCAACACTGTACATTACACTATAGCGCCAGTAAATGCCGCAGCACTGTACAGATATACAACCTAGAATTTTGACTTGGGGTGCCTTGGAAAAATACTGAAATATTAAGGGCGCCTTGAACCTAAAAAGTTTGGGAACCACTGGTGTAACTCATTCAACAGGTTTCCACCTAGCAATCGTTTTGAAGTGCATCTGCCTGAATCCCAAACTCTACTGCAGTTGATGATCACCTTGCAATACCTCAAGGTGCATCTCCCCGTGTAATAATCTCATTAAATACCAGAATTTTTCTGCAACTCATACTCATTGCACAACTTCTTAAGGTAGCCATACATATTTCACTTGAAGCAAATATTCATTTTAACAAGTTATATTTATAAAAAAAATACTGTTGTTTCAGTTTGTTTAACTGCAAGTCTGAACACATTTAAGAATTATTTTATATTTTTCATTTTAGTTTTAACCATTTTAGTTTAACCAATTAATGGTTCTTGTTTGGTGTAAATATGAAATCTTAACACTAAACAATTGCAAGTGTCATTTGTACCAATTCACCAGCTAGGTTAATGTCATGGTCCTGACAAGGTCTGAGTTCATTTGTTTATGTTTTGTGTTTGTTTGTTTGATTTTTTTTGGCACAGCAGAGACTTTTACAAATGTGCATCTCAGATTTGCATAAATGTCTCTGCAATGCCAGGCAAAAATGGAACGAAGTGAAATTTAGACAATACGAAGGATTAGTTTTCTCTGGTGTAGCAATTAACCCTTTGACTAGATTTCTATAATGGTATGATAGTTTAATTATTTGGGTATGTAAGAACAAAACAGGCAGGGATGCCATCAGAGGGGTAGAGGCAGTACTCTTTTAAGGAACCCGGTATAGCACAGGGGCCCACATGGTTACCTGTAGTGCCTAGTGGTCTGGTTCTGGTTGGGGAGTTATATATATTCCCTTAACCAAGCCGCATTACCCAGAAGTATTATACTAAGGCCTTTATCAGACAGGAGCCTGCCCAGCCTCTTCACAGATGACAGCAATGGAGGATGTGATAGCATAGATGTCACTTCCTCTGTACATTAAGTAGTGTGGCCTTATTAGAGCATTTCATTTTCTGTGCTCTGATACCTATGGAGGGCTCAGATTTAGAGCAGTGTGTGGAGGGGTGGGGATATGGCAGATGTCATATAACCACCCTGTTCCTATCACACTGCGCTGACGCACTGAATTGCTTGCTGTCCTACTGTGAAAAGAGGACAGCACAGCAAATGGCATAATAAGGCTATACTGCATCTGAGGTAGAAGTAGGACTATTAAGAGTAGAAGGTAAGGGCAGGGGACAATTTTGGCTGGTTACTGTGAATAGGAGAAGTTATGTGTATGAATGTGTCTGAGAGTGTGTGTCTGACAATGTGTATGTGCATATGTCTGTGTTTGTATGTCTAATTGTGTGTGTTTGTGTCTAACTTTGTGTCTGTGTCATAATGTGTGTGTGTGTGTGTCTGTGTATGTGAATCAATATAGTGAAAACGTGTAGCTATATTAACAATATAAAATGTGATAGAAACTGCACAAACACTCCAAGGTTGTTCCCGGACCAGTAATAAACTGGTATCTCCACGTCAAACTCAAACAGAGTTTAGACCCCACCCTCGGCTTTATATATAATACTAAGTAATGGATATGGTGGTCAATCATCCTTCATTATCTCCTGTGGTGTCCTGCATCTCTTTTGGAGACCTTATTATTTTGCCTAACATGAAGATTGACCACCATATCCATTACTGAGCATTATACATAGAGCCAAAGGGTGGACTCTAAAGTCTTCAAGCAACCGGCACACTTGATTGGAGCCATTGTCTACTCACTGTATTAAAATTATGTATATATATATATATATATACATACATATATATATTTAAAAATCGACTTTTTTATGACTTTGTGTTTTTTATGACTGGTTGAATTATGATGTGTTTTTCTATTTTCTTTTTACACATGTATTCATGCATATTCGAGTTTGACATGGAGATACCAGTTTATTATTACTCTATTACTAAGTATACATATTGTTTTCATACTTTCCTGTTTGTGTATGCATCTGACTGTGTATGTCTGTTTCTCATTTTGCATCTGAAAATGTTTGTGTACATGTTCATATGTCCCAGACAGTGGGAATCTATGCATGTATGTCTGATAGAGTGTGTTTAATATTGTGTATCTGTATATGTGTGTTCCTGACATTGTGTATTTGTCTGGCACTGTGTATCTTTGTGTATTCGGTAACAGTGCATGTGTATGACAGAGGGTGTGTGCAAGTGTATCTCTATGTGTGAGGGAAGGAGCGTGTATCGAGGTGGGGAGAGGAGTGGGGTTGGGGGGGGGGCAGGTCAATTTCTTTTAAGGGGCCCTAAGACTTCTGATGGCAACTCTGAAAACACTTCACGCTAAATCCCTTAAGTGTTATTATACACAAAATTGCAGAAAACATCTTTTCTGTCTATTACAAATAACAAGCACATGTCCACAGTCATATAATGCAGTATATTTGACAAATGTTGTTAAATGGTCCAAAATAAATAACACAACCAGCCATAATTTCTATACATTTTTATTTTTTAAACAGTTATATTCTTTTAGTTAACTTAAATTTTTTACATATGCAGCTTTCCATATACGTATCCTTTGTCTCCGTGTTGTCACGCTGACCCCCTGCATGATAACACGACTCTTTAAAGTCACGGTGTGCCTGTGGGTTGGTTAGAAGCAACAAATGTAGATCAATGGTGGTGAGTTGGCTAAAAGGCAAATGGGGTTGAGTGAGTGGGACCAACAGTTAATGTGAGCATGGTTTCTGGGTTCACACACTGACACTGCCTATTTAAACTACAGTTGTGATTTGAGCACTACTCAATAGAAATTAACAAAGAATCATGTAGGTGAAGTTGAATTAACAATCATTTCATAGTGTGAGTGCTTTGTGTAGTTTTTGTTTAAAAGTAAACTGTTGTTAATGCCCCTTTTTCATTGTTTTAGCAGGTTTTCCATCTCCTGTCATCCCCACTTCAAGATATTTAATGCACCTGTCCATAAAGTGAAATGCAGTTATCCAATCTATGAGCAATACTGTATCTGTCATAAAGAATAAAGATGGATAATGTTAACTCCTGGATTGGTAAGCACACCTTGACTCTTACTAAGACCAGTAGCAACAGGTAACTAACCATTAGCACCATTTAAATTAAAATGAGTAGAAAGTTAAGATAATTCCTATAATATAGATACAGTAATGCTAGTAGTATAACAAGGAGCTAAGTCAGCAGACATGTTTCCATAAAGGTTTTCCTTAACATATACAGCTTACACTGCAGCTGCACTACCCGATGATTCAACCTTCACGTTAAATTCATACCTACCTGGAACCCTGAAGCATAAGCTTCGGTTGGATTGGTGGAGCTCTGAAATGACAACGTAGTGTAGATTGTTAAAATGTTGCCCTTCCCATGTGGTCAGATTAGTAATGGCAGAAAGATGTTAACTTTGTTGAAGGGGAGAAGCGACATTGCAATATTGAGTACCATTGTTGGTCCTCCGATCTGCTACAAAAGCATTATGTTTGCTTCCAGATTTCCAACAGGTTTTTTTCTTTGTATGTTTTGTGGTTGTTGTTGCTTTGTTTTATTTTTTAATAAAATCACTGTCGATACAACCATGAAAAGCACATGGATTTTCTGTTTATTGATGATAATTAAAATTTGCTTCTAAATTAGAAGATTTCCAAGAGGTCCCTCTTTACTTGAAAAGACTGCTTTTTATTGATGTCAAGGCACTTCTTGCTTCTCATTTGTCATAAATTAATTATGTTTTATATCGACAATAGTGTATGTTGGAAGAAGCCAGTGATGAACAACTTGATTTAACTACTTATAGAGCATTGTAGGTAATATAGCTCACCATCATTAGAATAGCCATCACTGGTCTATGCTATGTAAAGGGGAACAAAATTACAGGTACCATTAAAATTGGTAGTAGTAAAACGTTTTAAACAAACAACATAGCTAAAATAAATTATTACAGATAAAATAAGTGAGCAATCGAAAAAAAAGTGAAAAAATAATTTACCTGTTGTAAGGGTACAGAATAAAGGGTGCACCCTGTCCCTTTAAGATAACTATTCAGAAAATAAAAACAAGGATATAACACTGAGTAAAAAGTCATACTTGCTTGGGAAAAAATTATGGAAAAAGGCATTATTCTTCCAAAATACCTTTAAAATGTATATACACAAATAATACAGAGCTGTATCAGTTTCACAAGCTTCACAATAAAGTGTACTGCCTCTTTAAAATATATATATTTTTATATTATTGCCTCTTTAATGCTTTTTTTATATTACTGCCTCTTTAAATACTTTTAGTATGGGGTGTCGTTGTTGTGCTGCCCATTGCTTTGTTTTATAAGCAATTGGTATTGGTATTTATATTTGGAAACTAATGATGATGTCTTTTACACTACTTGACACCTTTTAGAAATTGCAGTATTTTGGTATTTTTAATCATTTTGTGTATATGAGTGATTATTATTATTTATTGTAAGTAAAAAAAAAAAAGTAGGTCTCTAAATGGTGGCACTTCTTATGTTATTCATCAAATTAAAGACACAGGGTTAATTTGTTCGAGTTAATAGACTTGGGTATAAACATGGCTAGGTTTGATTTGACAAACCTGAGTAGGTCTGACAGATACAGGAGAAATGCGTTGGTGGAACCTTTGGGACACTATTGTTTTTTTTGCTTGCAGACAGAAAGAAACAAAAAATACAGCAGCCAGATGCCAGTTGGGACCACTCCCAAAGGAGAGACAAGGGTATCATATAAAGACCCAAATCTGTTGTTAGCTAGAACCAGCTCATGAGAGAGGCACAGGGTTTGGACAAAAAAAACTAGTAGTGAATCCCTTAAGCAGTTATATTGTTTGTAATGTGCAAAATATAGTATCTGGGAACTAACAGAATTCTTTAAATGTGCATGCATGGTTTGCTGAAGAAGCACTTTATTGTGGAACTTGTGTAAACAATACTGCTCTCTTATTTGTTTTTATACATTTTTTAAAGGTATTTTGGAAGAATTAAGCCTTATTATATTTTATTACATTTTAGTCATGTGTCACTTTTTTCATTGTTATATTGTTGATGAGCAGGGTTCATAGCTTCATGTTCTAAAATAATTATGAGCTAAATCATGATCACCATACATGATTGTGAAGCGTTTACAGAGGGGTAGGTGGAATATCAGTACTTGCAATTGTAGTATGTGGCTGCTGAAACTTCCCAAAAACCAGAGTTTCTTCTTTTCTGGTGGTACGATGGATGTAGACAGTAGGATCAGGGAGCAGCGCCTATGAAGGAATTCCCACACTCAGAGCGATATGGAGGAGGGAAGGAAAATGACACGGACACGGACCTCCTTTTGAGGACATCCAAGAACCATCTACATATCCATAGGTGGGGATTGTACCGTCCAGGCGCACATATCTGGAGCTGAGTATAGGCTCCAGAAAATTGTAAGTGCAATTCCTTTCCCTTCATTTACCATCACTAAAGATCTCAGCATACTACACTATATCCGTGTCTTTTTCCTTCCCTCCTCCATATCGCTCTGAGTGTGGGAATTCTTTCACAATTCCAATGCTGCTCACTGATCCTACTGTCTAATAATTTAATCAAAACCAAAGGATTTTTAGAATATCCTAAACAATTATATAGATATTTGAATTACAAATTAAATATCATATTCAGGCAGTAGCATGTGTTTAACTCACTGCATGCTATTGGATTCCTCAACATATTTCAAAGCAAAATCCACAATCCTTTTAGTGTAATACTAACTGTTGTCATACAAGTAAATGTTTTTTATTTTATTTATTTTTTATCTTATTGTTGATTGTTGGTGTTCTCGGGGGCATTATTTTAAAGCGGTAGAGCCAGCATGAAAAAAAATAATAATTTGTTTTTATTTTTTATGATCAGAGTTCATTACTGCACTCAAAGACTTTTTAAGTTCATATACAATCCAAATAGTTTTAATCAGAAATTCTAAGACTTGATGTGCAAAGATTATTATTAATAACTACCAGTTGGTTTTGTTTTGTTTGTTTTTTTTGATAGAAAAAAAATAAACTTATCAACAAGCGTTTGTTTCAGCACAACATAAAAAAAGTGTAATTAGCTTATCCCAATTAGTAAAATCTGTACGCATGCCAACTCATACTCAAACGGCTACTTATACAAAAAAAATTGCAACAATACAGTTATCTTTTCCAGTCCTTTTGCACAAAATTTATTTACAATGTATACATAATTGTTCCATGGTTTGACTATGGAAAAAATGTACGCACGACCGATGTCTTGCTGAAGATTAAAGTCAACATATTAAAAAATAAATCTTCTTCAGTTCTTCTTGAGCTGCATAAAACAGGAAGGTGATGTACATATTGGTTGTTGTTGCATGGGGATACTGATGCTTTGATGTGACAATTAGGCTCCAAATACACTTGCAATTTGGTTTCCATGCCTTTTCCTACCAGTTTCCTTAAGACACTGCCTGCAACAGCTGATTAATCATTGTTGATGACTGGAGTTTTTCCCATCCTTTCCGATTTACATCTGTTCAGGCCAATTCAAATATGGTGAGTAAATGAATTAGACATGCAAATTCAAGCCTCAGGCGAGAGGGAGAGAGAGAGAGAGAGAGAGAGAGAGAGAGAGAAAGACAAGGAGACAGACAGAGAACCAGAGGGAGACAGAAAAAAAAAATATTGAAAGACAAAGGTGCAGAGAAAGAGTGCATGGCTGAAATCCTTGAATCGAAGAAAAAAATCTTCTGCCTGCCATTGTTATGCTCTAAAATAATCTGCAAATATGTAATTTTTTTGTCATTTGCAGGATAACTGTAAGGCTTTTTTTTCTTTTCTTTTTTTTTCTTTTTTTAAGTAAGGAGGCTTCTGGAGGAAGTGAAGAGCTATGGAAACAACACACATAGTGTGGAAAAATTTCACATTTTTTTAAAAAAATCTATAAGAAACAACATAATATGGTTAACAGTATAATATCATTTACAATATTTCACTCTTTGTTCTCTTAACGTCTTATATACGTATTTATTGTGTCCCCCAAACTTGATTTCAGTGGCTGTTTTCTGCTGTTTTTTGGGGTATCTGGCTGGGGTCCATATGATGAAAGTAGGATCTCTCTTGGTCCTTTGCAGATGCCAAGAATGGAACTCCGCCTTATGAGCAGAAGACAGTGCTTGAAATGTGTCATTGTAAACAACACATATTCCCTTAGGTTACTGAGCATGAATGTCCATGGCATGTCCACTCATTGTTGGATCTCCCGTATTAAGTACTGAGGGGCTGGATGCTGACATTGGCATTCCAGGGTGAGCCGGTCCCCCATGCATCATCATTGCTGGGTGCTGATGGTGTCCAGGAATGTAGGTATGCACAGAAGGCCCATGGCGCATCGGAGTATGATGTAGGGGCATCTGGGATGGAGAATAACTTGGCTGTCCCATACTCATACCCATTGGACCACTTGGAGATATGTAATTCCCTGGCATACCGTGCAGAACTGCAGGAAAAAGTAAAGAAAAAACAAGGTTAAAGGTATCTATACATGCATATTCACATATACACCTGGGTTGTATCTAGAGAAAATGCGATAGACAGAAAGGGAATGCAACACACTCAATACAAACAAAGAACATATATGATGAATGCACACAAAGGTATGAGGTTCTGAGGATATTAGAATAGAGGAGGATGAAAAGAAGAATGGAGGTATATAATAATAAAACAGAAAATAATATTATCGGGGGTGGCAACACAGCAAAGTAGCAACAGTTTGGTTTAGGGAACACTACAGACTAAAATAACTAAAATATTTGCAATAAATGCAGTATTATTAATATGAGCATTTCTAATAAGGAGACTACGGCTGTTCAGTAAATAGACATTTGTGTTTTCTGACCAGTTTGTGTCTGTTATAATTCATTAGTAATATATTTGGTGGCTCAGCACTGCCTGTCTGAGTAATCAAGGCATCTGTAAAACCCATCCCCAGAATGAGATTTAATTCCTGGTTGCAGTGGAGACTGGTCCATAGGGGCATATGGTGCCCCCAGTTTTTTTGGGGGAAAAAAATTATTGTCATTGTAAGGACTAATGAGAAATGTGTCTGCTATGATTATATATGCAGTTTCTAATCACCCCTTAAGTCCTGATTGGAGGTGTAGCTGGTTTTGAACAGGGCATGCCATCCCAAGGGTTTTGTGAGTACTCCCCAACAGGTCGTTGGAGCCAGCACTCCACCATTGTTAAACTTCACCCAACACCACTGGCAAAATTTGGCTATTTATGAGTAAATCCCACAACACCCAGATTTCTAAAACCCAAATAAAACAAACTGAAAAAAATGTTGGCATACAGTATTAAGCCAGCTATAGTAATATTTTTGTATGTTGTATTAAAGTGTAACTGTCACTTCCCTAATAATTAAAGTTTCTCGCCAAATGCTATCAAAATTCTTACTAGAGTGAATTGAACATCGGAGGTGTCAGGATATCTGTTCACCTCTGCCAGGCTGGGACACAGCTTTGGGACTTCCTACACATGGAGGGGGACCCTCCTCATGGTCCCTCCTCTCTTCACAGTGGTTTCAAAGCTAATGATGTCACGGGCCGCCAAAATGTTCAAATTCGACCATTTTGGGTGCATGGGTATAAAATGAAAAAGCTACAATACAAAAAGGCTCCTAGGGCATAGGTCATTGCCCTGTTGTGGTTCATGTTTTGTTCCCAATAGTGAATTATTATTGTGTATATTCTGGTTCTGATTCTGGCATTGCCTGACTATTTTACCTTCTATTTCCTTTGACTCGGCTATTGTTATATTGCTCTATTCCTGATTTCTGGCTTCCCTGACCTTGGTTTGTCCCTGACCATTCTCTGTCCTTGCAAATGTTAGCCCGGCCACTCTAAGGTCCGGTATACGTTATCTTTACTATTCCATTACACTCTCTGCGTGCTGGTTCTCTCTGTATTCATGACAGGAGGTCAGAACAAAATACACTTATCTATGCAAAATTACCATGTCTGAGGCAACAATATAGCCCGTTTGATGCTCTGGGTACAATCACATGAAAAACTCAAAGTTATATATAAATAAATAAAAAATCACAACCCATAGCTTTTATTTCAAATATTTCAGATGTGGCGTTTCATTGTTGTCATAAATAAGATTAAAGCGGAAGGACCTTGGAATAGATGGAACCATAGCAGTAAAATGGCATTACAGATGTGTGTTGCATGGGAACCAGCATTTTTCTACATGTGAGAAATCAATAACTGTTCGCAATTAATTCCTTCCTTCTGATCATGTACGTTTAAAATAAATCAGACCACAAACTCAGTCAAGCTTTCAATAAATTTGAGAACAATGAGAAAACAGAACGTAAAACAATAACCGCCCCCTGCTTTCCATGGGCCTCTGCCTTCTGCATGGATTGCTCTGGTTGATGAAAAGTGACAGGTGTATTGTTTCTGAGAGCTATAAGCTCCATGATCATCAAGGGTGAAAGCAGAATATTACTGCTAAGTAGGTTCAATTGGCTTGAGTTGTAAGTAATGGGGCAGTGGGAACACCTTGGTTTCAGGTCTCAGGGCTCAGCAAAGAATGGCTGCTTAATTTAGCCTAAAGGAACATAGTGCTAATGAAAATTGCTTATAAAATAAAAAAATATATACCTTCTCATCTGGTCCTTAATCAAAAGTGGCAATATTTTTCATGATAACCTATTAATTTAATTGCTTATGAAGCATAACATGCAGGCATTTAAATTTAATTGACCTAGAAATTAAGAAACAATATTTAGATTAACTAAGCTATGAAATGTTCATGGGGATTCAAAGAAAGCCACGGCCTTCCCAGGGTTCTATATAGAACACGAATGTCTCCCCTTACATTTCCCATGATGCTTAGCCAGTCTTGGGGGTAGCTGGGGGAAGTGTTACTCACAAACATCTGGGGTGCCAAGATTAGCCATCACTATTCTATAGAACGCCTTTCCCGCTTAGCTGGTTTTATACCGGTGTGGCACTTATTCAGTGCTGGCTTTACAGCATACAGGAATAGATTTTTTTTTTTTTTTTTTAAATACCCCTTCCCCCATAAATGTTTTTTTTTTTTTTTAAATCTGCTTGTCCTCCAGAACAATATCACAATTGAACTGGGGAAATAAGATGGTGATTGCAGTGTTTTTTTACATTCCTTTAGAGAGAATAGAATATTTTTCTTTGCTAAATAACACAAAGCAAGATTATGGGGACAGTTTAGCCAGACTTCACTGAGCCCACTGCTAAAAGATTGCATTAATTATCTCTCCTTTTTGTATACTGAATAAGTCAAATCCATTTGTCACACTGCAAGTGATGGCATACTTAATTTGGATATAGTCAATTAGCCTAGGCTAGGCTTCGAAACCTGCTGTGCACACCTCTATTTTATATTCTTTTTCTTTCCCTTTGCCACACGTAATCCTATTATAATGGATAGAACAAAGAGGAGGAAACTGAACATGTAAAGTTTTTCTTTTTTGGTGGATGGAATCCTAAAAAGAAATGGCTAACTGTTTCAATGCGTAGCCGATGTTTATTTGCTTCAGAAAGTCCCTGTTTGCATTTTTGATGTCTTT